ATCATCTAAACATATTTGTTCCACATATGATATTTGATCAGGGATCCTTTAGAAATAGCAACACATAACATAAAAAGTCTTATGAAAGAATCACATATTCATTAACCAATAATGAGTTTATCTATTTCAAGGAACAAAATCGGAAAAATATGTAAACATAGTATGTGATACAATCATCTCTATGATTGCCTCTAGGGCATATCACTAACAGCGGCAGCATAATGCAGAAGACCGCCGGTAGCAGCTTCCATGGCATGAGCACTGAGAGCTACAATAGAGAGCAATTAGCCGACAACAAGGTGGACACGTAGACTAAGGTCCCCTTTGATTTATAGGAAAAGTGTAGAAAATTTGAAGGATTTCAATCCTATGGAAAAAATTCCTATAAAAGCCTTTGAAACAAAGGATTGAATCCTATACTATCCTTTAAAATTCCTATGAAATGGCTAATCCTATAGTGATTTTAGAGGAAAGTTAGCAAGAGGTCTAACCTCTTGAAAAAATTCCTTTGAGTCTATCTATCTCATCCGATTCCTACGTTTTTTCTGTGGTCCAATCAAACGGTCATTCCTGTTTTTTACTGTATTTTCCAATCCTCTGTTTTACCCCTGCATTCATGTCAGAATCCTACGTTTTTCCTATTCCTCCGTTTTTCCATTCCTGCTATTCAAATGGGCCCTAAAAAGCCAGACTAGAAGAGAGAGGGTCATATTCCTTCGTTTTTCCATTCCTGCTATTCAAATGGGCCCTAAAAAGCCAGACTGGAAGAGAGAGGGTGAGCCAGTGACTAAATTGTCGCCCGCTGCACGCGCGCTCCAAGAGCGTTGAAGCTTGCCTATCGACGGCTCGCAGCCAATGCCAGCGGCACCCCACGCGGTTTGTTGGGCCGTTCAACTGATGCGGCGTGGCCATCTCAAAACGGGGATGTCGAGCAAGAATCAGGACGGAAGAAGCGGTAGAGAGAAGAACTAACCAGGAGGAAAGAGGAACCGATGCTCTTGAGCTTTGGCGAACAGTGGCAATGGTGCGGCGGCCATTTTATTTGGCAGCACCCGATTCAATCTACTAATCTAATAATTAATAATAATCCGTACTAGAGATGTACTATGAATGAAGTAATGAAAGTGATCCTAACCTTTTTGAAACAGCACGTAAAATCAGTTGACACTTTGACACCTATTGATTGCAAAGAGGAAAAAGTACACAGAAGGTTCCCCAACTTGTGATGGAGTTACAAAATCGTCCTCCAACCATAAACCAGATATTCAGCGTCTCTTAACTAATAAAAACCGGTTACAATAGGTCCTTCGGTGGTTTTGACACCAGTTTTGTCCTACGTGACGGCTGATTTAGCATGGGACCCACGTGGGTCCTACATGTCAGGCTGAGTCCGCTGAGTCATCTATCTTCCCCTTCTTCTCTTCCTTGGTTCCTCCTCTCTCTCTGCGCCTGTAGGTCGGTCGGCGGAGCGAGGGGGGAAAGGAGGAGCGCGGCGCCGCAATGGCGGCCGCCGGCGGCGGCCACAGTGGGGATGCCCGACGGTAGCCCGGCGGAGCTCCACGACGCGGGCGTGCAGCGACCTTGCGCAGGCGTCGACAGGGAGGCGCGGGCGTGTGCAGGCGTCGCGGGCAGCTGGAAGGCGCGAACAACGCGGGCATCGACGGGGCGAGGCGGGAGAGGAGGAGGACGGCGGCGCGACGGCGGCCGGCGGTGGGCGGTGGGCGGTGGGCACGGAGGTCAAGCTCCCAGCCCTCAACCGAGCTCGAGCAGAAGGGAGGTGGTGCTCACCGACGCTAGTTCATGGTGCTGCTCGTTTTCTCAGCTCGATACTCTCCCGCTCGTCAAGCTCCACCACTTGACCGAACAAATCGCGGCCACGCTGACTCAAAACAGAGCGAGCAGAAAACCATGGGAGGAGGGAAAATAGCTAACAAACTAACAGAAAGTAAATAAGAGTATAAGATCAAATCCCAACTGACAGAAGTTCATTTATTTAACACATACCACCTTCCCCGGCACCACGGCAGCATCATGATGGGCCAGATCACCCCACGGCGATGGCGGCAGCGCCGCTTTCCGCCGCTGACATTCCAATGGACGGTGCACCCCATCGAGCTGTGGAGCTGGTTCGGCGTCTCCGGCGGTGAGCAGCTGAGCTTGGCGTCCGCTACACCAAGGTCAAGCTGGTCGGCGAGTTCCTCCAGCGAAGCGGTTCAACTACGGCATTGTCATCGCCAATTCGCTGCTGAGCTATCCGAGGAAATCCGGCGACGCCGTCAACGAGATGACGAGCCTGTCCAACCTCACCGAGGAGCTCACGCTCTACGTCCCCACCGTTCCGGAGCCATTCCCACGTGGACGGTTCGGGTGGCCATTCCTTCAGCTCAAGATGTTCTCGCTTGGATCACTTGTCGGTCGAGCCTCGCCAGCGTCGTTTCTAGGGACGCCAGTTGCAGAAGGACGCAGTGGCTGATGAACCCGCAGCGGCGCTGCTGACCGTCTTCATGGGCGCCTGGGCGGTGACATCGTCACCGGCCACTCGTCGGTGGATGCGGCGCCAGAGCTGGAGCTGCTCCCGTCGACGGAGTCTGTGAACACCGTCTCGCTCGGCGCCTCCCTCACATTCCGTCCTGCTGCCGTCACGTCTCCATAAAGCCATCGCCGCCCCGTCGAGCGAGCGCGCGGCGGGCGAAGCAGGCAGGGGCGGCGGGCGAGCGCGGTGGTGGCAGGCGAGCGCGGTGGTGGCGGGTGAGCGTGGCGGCGGCTGCTGCTGGATTGATGGATTCTATCCGACTCAAGCGTCCATCAATTTAGCGTTTTTCTAATAGTATTTTCAAAGCGATTTGTTTTTTTAATAGACGGTGTTTTTTTCTTGCGAGGTTTACGTTTTTCTGCCAGTTTTTTTCCTCGCAAGTTTTTTTAAAAAAATCGACGATGGAAATAACTTTTCTCACATGTTTTTTTATTTTTTATGGAAGATGGAAAACCTTTTTAGAGTGTTTTTTTCGCTTTTTTCTCACTTTTTTCTCACGCGTTTTTTTGAACCGTTTTTATTTTCTCATGCATTTTCTCTTTTTAAATAGTTAGATTAGATTAGAAATAGAGAAGAGATATATACTGAGACTTTGTTTCACCCATTCTATTTTTTTCTCGCGTTCATTTTTTAATTTATACGAACCAGCTTTTTATTTTTTACAAACCATTTTTTTTGCCACTTTCTTAGAGAGTCGGACGAACTTTTTTAGATGTTTTTTTCAGATTTTTTTCGCCTTTATAGGAATCAGACTTTTTTTTTCGTTTTGAAAGGAATTGGATCTAGCTTTTTTTCACCACTTTTTGTTTGCCTTTATAGGAATAGGATTTTTTTGGTTCGGATCTATGGTTTTTTTGCCACTTAGGGAAACAGACTTTTGTTGTTGTTGTTGGTTTTCTTTTTTCCTTTATTTTTTTTGCGGCTTTTCTTTTTCTTTTGATGCACCTTTCTGCCTTTGTTATCTCCCTTTTATTATTTTTTTTAAAAAACGACCTCAAATACCTTATTGCAAGATTATAGGGACTTAAATATAAATATAAAAATTACAGGGACTCAAATGCAAAAGTACATACCCAAAAATTAAAACATATAAAAATATTATGCTCTTAACATGTAGGTTATGTTTTTGCAAACAGATCTCCAATCCTCCTAGAGGAGAGGTGCCTTTTATTTTTCGTTTTTAAGGAGGAATCGGATATAGAGTTGGATTTTTTTCGTTTAGAGATAGAGAATCGGATTGATTCTTTTTTTTTTTAATTTTTTTCCGTCCTTCTTTTTACCCAGAGTCGGATTCGTTTTTCTTGATGGACAGATCCGGTTTTTTTTTCCCTTTTCTTTCACCCCTTTTTTTTTTGGGATCGGATAGGTTTAGGTTTTTTTTTCACCCGGTTTTTTCTGGATCCGATAGATTTGGTTTTTTCGCCCGGTTTTTCGTTTTTTCGCCCTTTTAATCGGACAGGTTTGGTTTTTTTTCCTTTTTTTTCCGCCTGGTTTTTTTTACGGACATATTTGGTTTTTCGGTCCAGTTTTTTTGACGGACGATGGAAGCACCTCTTATTTTTTAAGTAGTAGGGATATAATTGTTGTTGTTAATTTGTTTTACAGATATTTTTTCTAGATCGGATATATTTGGTTTTTTCGCCCGGTTTTTCGTTTTTTCGCCCTTTTTTATTGGACAGGTTTGGTTTTTTTCCTTTTTTTTTCCACGCGGTTTTTTTTACGGACATATTTGGTATATTTGGTTTTTATCGTCCAGTTTTTTTTATGGATGATGGAAGCACCTCTTATTTTTTATTTTAAGTAGTAGAGATATGATTGTTGTTGTTAATTTGCTTTACAGATATAGGGTTAGGATTAATCACTTCGGGGAATATTTCTACTGACACATACGATGCAATGCTACTATTAATTGTTGCATACTTGCATTCTACAGTTTTTCTCATTTTATTCTTTTGACTTTACCACATGCCAATAAACGATAAGTGAAGTTTTACTGTGGTTATTAAATTATTCATCTCCAGAACAAGTTGCCTATGTTGTTAGACTAAGATAGAATAATCATTTTCTTACAGCGAAACAGCCGTCGATTAATATTGATCTGGCAGGTTTCCTAGTTCTTGTTAAAAAGAAAAACAAAGTTCATTTTACTCGCCAGGAACTATTTCAGACACATCAACCCCTAAATTAGTTGTTTTTGCTAATTTTACACTCCCAACTACTAAAAAAATTTTACTTTACTCCCTGACGCTATTTCTCTCTCTTTTTTTTGGGTAGAATGGTATATGCATTGTAACTTACATCTCAACATTTTTTTAAATTCTTCTTGTTTTTTAAATAATTCAGGGGGGTTAAGTGATCCAGTAAATTAGTTTGGGATAGAAAATGCCTTATTTTTTCTTGTTAAAAATACGTAGGCTTTAATGTAGCAGGCAGATTTCTGTACATCCAGACAACTGTAGAAGACATATTTCTCAAAGCATATAGTATACACTATACAACAAGTCAACAAGCATTTCCAGTTCCATTTCCCTTTCAAAATCAATTACAGTAAGTTGAAGCTTTCTTTCTTGAGAAAGAATAGCACTCAGCTTTTAAAGAAAAAGCCAATGAACCACAACATGTCAAAAACTAATCAGGCAATCTAACAAAAAAATATATACATCCAACAAAACAAACAGCCTCACTATAAACAATTCAATACCTCAATCCAAACTGTCAAATACTTCTTCATTGTCAACACAGGATTAGGATGAGCATCTAAAGTTTTCTGTTGTCCCAAAGTTCCACCCATGACCTGCCAACATCTGCATACAACAGAAAATGTGTCATGTCCAAATACTGCGAAGAGAGTTGACGATAATAAAATTACAGATCATTCTTTGTAATCAAGCAATCATCTAAGAACTATGTCGGGGTTGGGTGAGAAAAGGAAATGATACTTGCAGGATGGCAAAATTCCAGTAAAATTGGTATATTTCGTTTTAAGTGAGATAGGCTGGTGGTCCACACGAGTAACGCCAGTCTCTTGGGGAAAAAAAGGGAAATAAAAAACCCAAATCATATAGAGAGGAAAAAAAATACCATTATACCCCAATAAATCAACAATTTAGTTTTTTTACTGTAGTATCATACTTAGTAAAAACCACCGAAGAAAAATCTCTCTTGTGTTAGACAATATTGACAAGAAAATAAATAAGTAACAATTGTGCGAACCCACGGTGCAGCAGATGATGATCAACAAAATAATTGGCCATGCAGCTGGATTCCTTTTGTTTTGTTTTAAAAGGAGTACCCTCAGTTCAAAATTCAAACGATGTCACGGTGTGAAAATTGGAATGAACTATCTTCTCACCTCAATTCAATCTTTACATCCAGCAAACACATCAATAACTCCACATAAATTCCACCATGATGCTGGGGACCTAACAAGTGGCATTCCGTTTCCATGTGGAGCTCCCTTTCAAATTCATTTGAAACATACAATAGCAGTAAAATTCAGAAATATATAACAAGCTAACAGCCACAATTTTCAGAAATTAAGCGAAACTTCCTTTTGTACTCACCTCTGAAATACAATTAGCATTACTTTTGTTGTCTTTATCTTCAACGTCTTCACAAATTGAACTCCCCAATGAAGCAACATCATCAATGTTATCTCCATTTGCTAAACAAACAGGCAACACCTGTATAGTCTGATGCTTATCAGCAGAACCACAATTTGTAGATGCGATACTTGATGCCTCCTCTATGTTGTTGTCAGTATGATCCTCACATTTGTCATCTTCAATACCGATATTATAATGGGATGCTACGCTGGGATAGGCCACTGTTCCATTTTTATCTTCACAAACAGAATCAAAAGGAAATCCTGATGTTCCATTCTCATTAGGAGAACTAAATTCACCTGAACTGCTGACAGTTTGCTTTCCACTGAGGAACAAAACTTCAGGTGGCTTGTTGTCGTCAGAAACAACCACCTTATGTATTTCTTGCTGCTGGTAAAAAATATCTGCAACGTTATCAAGCAATCCTGATAAATTATTTGGATCCTTTTGTTCTGAAATATCCTCCCTATATTCAGAGTCATCATTGGCTAAATCATCTACAAAGGTCAAGACTACTGTATCACCAAGTACCACCTCTTTTGTTTCATGCTTGTCAACAAAATCATAATTTTCAAATAAATGGTAAGCTGGAGCCTCCTTATCAGAAGAAAATTCCTCACCACATTTGCAATGATTGTCCATGATACCACGATGAGATGAACTATCTAGCAATACTGCTTTATTTTGATTGTTTACATCAAGAAAATCCGTGGCCAACCCTACCACTTCATTGTTGTCAGAGAAATCATGAAATTCAGATGAAAAAGTTGACAGTACAGTTGGAGATGAATCACCTGATTTGATGATATCTCCACTTTTAGTTTCTTCCTCAAACCAATCAACTGACATATCTCGTGGCTGACGCTTTTGTGACAAACCATCAGAACAGACAATAGCAGCTCCCGATTCCCTTCTTTTTATCTCAAAGACAGTCACCTCTTTGATGAGTTTTTCATCATCAGTATGCATCTTACAGTTCAGGCAACCATCAGATGACACCATACTAGGCAAGTTTTGAGAATCATCAGAATTAACATGTAGTACCTCTTCTATCTCAAACCTTCTAGCACAATCTTCAGACGAAATCTTCAGAGTTTTCTTCTCTGCCTTTCCTTCTTCTGCAACGCCTTCTCCAAGGCGTTTATCAGCATCGCTGCCATGATCGTTGCTACTCCTCTCGAAGGTCTCACCGTTGATGTCTTTGTTCCACAGGGAGCGAATAAAATACAGCAAGGTGAACCAGAGAAACAAGACGAGGAAGGCAAGCACAGCCAAGAACAGCACAGGAGGAACCAGCACGCAAGCTGACAGCAGCGAGAAAAAACGAGGCAGCAAATTGGGAACAAACGAGGAGGCGCAGACCCGGCGAGGAAGATGGTAGTGGACATGGAAATGGCGGCCGCCGCAGTCGCCGCCGCCGCCGCCGCCTTTCTTCCCTCTCTGCCTCCTGCCACAGCTCAGAGCCAGAGCCATGGCCATCTCCAAGAGCAGGACATGGAGCAGAAAAGCAGCAAGAACACAAGGGAGAAGATCCTGTCAATGCGTGGCCTAGTTTTCCTCCTCCGTTTTCTTGCCTTTTGTGCCGTCTCCAAAGGCGAAAAATAATTCGAACTTGGTGAAAGGCGACGGCTTTTTCCTTTTTGGGGGTTTGATTATGCAATGCGTCTGAAATTCGTGCACTGTTTGGGTCCCGCCAAGAAGAGTTCAAGCTCAAATCTCGAGCAATGGCTTGTGAGTGGATCGTGGGTCAGGGTCATTTGTGTTGCTGATTGAGATGGGCTAAATAAAGTTGGGTCTTGGATGGTTATCGACAGCAAGTGTGTTCAGAAAGAAAGGAGGGTGTGGTTACTGAATTGACGTTGTCGCGAGATAATCTGATCCAGCGGATTATAGGGGGTAGTTTTTCCATCTTAAGCCAAAAGCAGAAATAAATTAAAAAAGTATAATCCTGCTCTGGTCATATTAGTGTAGAGAGTAATTAGCTGCTAAGACCATTAGAGCTCAACGAAATTACTAGTCGCTTACAATGTTAGAGTACATACCAAACCAAATATCTATCACTAGTCGTGGAAAAAAAGCTCAGGCTCGTGAGCTCAGCTCGGGCTTGGGTCGAGCTTGGTTGGCTTGGCTCGGCTTGTAAGCCAAACGAGCCAAGCCCAAGCCTCCTTTTCAGCTCGTTGCTAAAATGAGCCAAACCGAGCTAGCTCGCGAGCCGCTTATTTTGGCTCGCGAGCCTAGGCCATTTTGTGTTTATATCGATTATTTCATTTTATATGGCGTTATTATTTGTCAACTTCAAATTTACCATAAATTTATTTTAATTTTACATGTTAATAATTTGTTCTTGCTTTTTTTAATAATTACAAAATATATATGAAGATGTGTTTTAACAGGAAGTCTTACAAGCCAGCTCGAGCTGGCTCGAGCCAGGAAACGAGCCGAGCCGAGCTCAAGTTTTAAGCTTGTTTCCCTAACCAAGCCGAGCCAAGCCAAGCCTAGTTTGTTGCGAGCCACTGCAAGCCGAGCCGAGCTAGGCTTGGCTAGGCTCGTTTCCACCCCTATCTATCACTGCTGGAAACTTGCGGCTGGATGACTTACCATCTATAGTGTAAGTTGAGATTGGATCAAAATGTCAAATTTTCTGAGGCATTGATGTGGCTGAAATTTACTTTTTTTATCAATATATGGTTCCTGTGTATGAGGGTGCAGCCAATGAAAAATTTTACTCACAGATTAAATCATTAGTAAAAAATGTACTCTTAATGATATGGCTAAATCTCATATGTCCATTTTTATCAAAAGATAGTTATGTACACACAAATTTTTGTTAAAAAAAACAGTGTGCCTTTTATTTGCTAGGATAAGAGTACGGCGCTTTCACGAGGGCACGACGGCACGTTGCTCGGCCGAAACGGGGCAAGCACAGGCGTGAAGCTTCCCTCGGGCTTGGTCCCTGCCCACCTTACGAGGGGTGGAAAAAATAATGTAGACAAACTCTAAAATATAGAAGTGATAAGATATAGATAAGTTACTTACATTTTACAGATGAAAGAAGCTTAAAAAAATTTGTAAAGATTAAAAATGTATATACAAAAGAGAAGAGGAGATGAAAGTTAAAGAAGTAAAAAGAGAGAGAAAAACAAGGAATATTATGATTTTTAGCCTTTTCAAATACAATGGATTTTGCTAGGATGGTTCTTCATCCAAATACAAAATGTAATAGGTTTCATCAAAAATTGAGGCATGTAGTTTACCTGTGTCTATTATGTCCTATATATTGCTTGAAAATAAAAAAAATGTATTAACAAAAATAACGAAAAATAAGTTGTTGAAATTAAAATCAAGTATAATTTGTAAGAGTGAATTTCACTTTAGGCTACTCTTTATTATCAATGTTCGCTTTGCATCACCTTTAAACTAATTTTCACTTAATTTGAACCGAATAATTTGACATTTGTGATACCTTGAACCACTATCAAGTCTTTTATCCATATGATTTTAATTTGTCATATGTCAAAGAAATTATCTACATACGGCTATGGGATTTCATTGACAAGTAGGAGCTAGTCTAAAGTAATGAAGGAACTAATCTTTCTCAAAAGCACATTAGGCCACGTAAGCTAAAAAACAAAGGCCATCAGATGCATGATTGGATAAATGTTGACCGTCCGATCAAATACGTACTGCATTATCCCTCCGGAGCCTTCTAGTGCCTCTCCTCACGTACTTGCCAGCATGAAAGAGAGCAAGCAACACAGATAGACACTTATGAAACTTAATGGGCTTCAATTTCATAAGTTGGGTTTTTTTGAAATTTGACACATGGACCAAGTAAAACAATACTCCCTTTGTCTTTTAATATATGGCATCATTGACTTTTAGATACATATTTAACTATTTGTCTTCCAAATTCTTTTTTAAATAAATAAGATATATATCATGCTTGAAGTACTTTCAGTTTGTAACACAACTCACAATAAAATAAATTAGAAATATGTAAATTTTTTAATAAGACAAATGGTCAACCGTGTGAATATAAGTTAATGGCGTCATTTATTAAAAACATAGGTAGTATAAATTGTTTCTGTGAAAAAAAAAGAAATACTACGGTGGTCATGTATGTAACATATGGGCAACTTCGTATTAATGTTTAGGGCCAAGATCATTTTAGTTGCAACAGGAAAAAAAAGGCAACCTTAATCTTTAACAAAGATGGCTTTTTATGGTCGCGCAAACGCGCGACTCTAAGTGGCTAGTATATTTGAGATCCGTACGGTTAAGAATAGTCACGGTGATCCAAAGTGTAACAAAGGTAAAATTATCTGGTTGAAAACAAAAATATTGGCTAAAGAATGGTTAAAGAGAAATATCTAATAAAAGATTGCGTAAAGAGAAATGTACTCTAGCTGTGTTCGGAGGTTGGTGTTGGGAACCCATCTCCCATGCACGGAAACGGAGCGGTCTATTAGCGCGTGATTAATTAAGTATTAGCTAATTTTTTTAAAAAAATGGATCAATATGATTTTTTAAGCAACTTTCGTATAGAAACTTTTTGCAAAAAAACACACCGTTTAGTAGTTTGAAAAACGTGCGCGCGGAAAACGAGAGAGGAGAGTTGGGAAGAGTACCGAACACAGCTAGGTAAAAATTAAACAGGCCATCCTCAGCCATATATTACTATCCTAATTTGATGGATATGGATGCTCTGCAGTACTGTATTTGCAGTAGCAGTGCCGGTTTCACATGTCAGCGGCTGCTACTACAGCTGTAACACTGTAGACAATCCCCACTGTAATTTGATTAGTTCCACGAAGAATTAAAATCCATAGAGATGTTTGAATGATTTTTTTAACGAATTTTACGAAAACTCATATGCTGCAGTGATCCTTAAACTTATATAAAAGTAAAACTGGTCGGTGCGCCAACAAACATGCTGATTTTCTAGTTAATACTTAATCACAGAATTTACAGTCGCATTTGTTGCGCAGCTTGCGCTCCTAATTATAACAGGGAAAACTTGCAGCCCCATGCTTCTGATGATGGTCAGGGCTGCTAAGTACCAGGTTGGGCTCTACTGGGCTGGATCTCTTCCGCGGGTTCCTCCTACGGTATGGAATAAGTTCACCTTAGATCCCTTAATTTGTCGTCAGTTTACCCCTTAATTTGTTGCGCTCCTAATTCACTACGGTAGTTTTTCACTTTCTGCGGCTCTTGTCGCTACGGAATGCTTTTCTTAGACTTTTGCTCAAAATATTGGTGCTTGAGAAAGCCAACCGTTAAATGTATTAGTAAAAACTAATTAAAAAACGAAGATAGTAGTAAGTAATCATTGTTTACTATTTGTGTCTTCTGGATATGGGATATCTCTCATACTTGTACTTGTATATTTTGGTATATTTGTACTCAAAGTATGAGTACGAGGTATCCTATATTCAGACCGATAATTTGTCATCCAATTTATAGGGTTTTAAGAAATTTTCACCCAATTCACATGTCTTTATTTCATATTACTCTATCTATCCGGCCAAATAGATATTGCATCTATTTGCATCTACCATACAAGTTTATGCATAGTGGTTGTTATCAGGGTTATAGGTAAGGTATACCCTCTACCCTTCGATATACGTCACATATCGATATTGTATGCTTGCGCGAATACGGACGGTTCCGGCATACGTTAAGAAAATTCATCACGGAGTTCACAGATGGAAGGAGTCATACTCGGACAGAACTGGGTCGTCATTGTATCGTGTCGGGTTCGATGTCTCCGAGTCCTACTTGGAGACCGGTTGACCTGCGATATAAAAGGGACCCCCGGGAGGACCTAAGGCATCGAATCTCATAGCCAACACATCCACCACAGCCTACGGAGTTGAAGCCTACAGAAGCCAAGTCGCCGTGAGATCTAATTGAACCTGTTCGATTACAATCTCGTCGGTATCATCGAGTTCCGCAATTCCCTTTCTAATCTGTGGTTTCCATCATATAATCTCATATCAACTGGATTAGGGCTATTACCTATCAAGGGGCTTGAACCAGTATAATCTTTGTTTTTTTATCTGCTTGATGTCGTACTACATAGATCCTCGTACCAGCATACCCTAGTACCCTCTATATCCGGTCTACGGGTATTCCCCATCGATAGTGGCGCGCCAGGTAGGGGGACTTGGTGCTCAGGGTTCTACAACTATGTCATCCAGCTTCGTCGACAACAGCGTCAACACCAACCTCAACCAAGGAGTTCCTGCTTCAACAATGCTGGTGTGGAATCAAGTCGGCGAAATCGTCTTCCCGGTTTACGCCACGATGCCGATCTCGGCTGGTCCATCAATGATCGAAAGCGAGAACGCAGTGGCTACAACCCAGGACGACTCCATGTCGAAGGATCCTCCCGCCAAAGCGGAGAACTGAACGTCGACAACATCCGAGCCCGAGAAGGATCCTAGTGCGGCCAAACCTTGTCTTTCTGACAAGAATCACGAGCCGACGAGGATCACTTCCGAGGTGACAAGGTCCTGGTGTCCTATCCACAAAACCAGAAAACACACCTTGCAAGCCTGCTGGGTCTTTCTCAATGTCCACGCTGAAATTCGTGCCTGCAAAGAGCGTGGAATTCAGCATACTTCTCCAACTCGTGATGTCTACTGTCCTATTCACTAGACAAAGAATCACGACCTCTCAAGCTGCAAGGTCTTTCTCAGCGCCGTGAAGACGTCACCTCCTAAGGTCTAGCAGTCACGTATCCCCATCA